ATAGAGATTTCTTGAAAAAAATTTGGAATGGAACCACCATTTGTCCAAGCCATCCCACTCTTTGGTCTATACCCAAATGACTTAAAAACAGTATACTACTAGGACACAGCCACATCAATGTTTATAATAGCACAATTCACAATAGTTAAACTGTGGAACCAACCTAGATGCCCTTCAGTAGATAAAATGATAAAAATGTGGCATATATAGACAATGGAATATTTCTAAGCAATAAAAGAGAATAAAATCATGGCATTTGCAGGTAAATGGATGGAGTTAGAGAAGGTAATACTAAGTGAAGTTAGCTAATCCCAAAAAACCAAATGCTGTATGTTTTCTCTAATGTAAGGAGGCTGATTCATAGTGGGGTAGGAAGGGGGAGCATTAGAAGAATAGAGGAACTCTATATAGGGCAGAGGGGTGGGATTTGAAGTAAGGGGGCATGAGGTTAAAAATGATGGAGAAATGTGATGAACATTATTATCCAAAATACATGCATGAAGACACAAATTGGTGTGAATGTACTTTGTATACAACCAGAGATATGAAAAATTGTGCTCTCTGTGAAATAAGAATTGTAATGCATTCCACTATTGTATATAAATAAATAAATATAAATGAAAATTATGAATAGAGATATGCAAAAAGCAAACACAAAAATACACATGCATTATACCCAGTTTTTATAAGATAATTTGAACAGAAGTTGGGGAAGGGCATAAGACAAAGCAGAATGGTTAATATCACCTTACTTTCCTCATAAGGATTAACACACAGAATATTCTCTTACTGTGTTGGCAAAAACTGGTCTGTTTAGGTGATTGGCCATTCTCCAGAGTTTCTCAAAAGGTCAAATAAACTATTTGGTTTTTGTTTCGTGGTGAGGAACATTTGTACAAGTGACTCTATTTTGGTTTGGACACTTGAGGACAAGTTCAAATTAGTGAACACCTATTTATTTTAGTTAAAAGAATATACATTTTAAAAAGCATTTAACTATATACAAGTATAGTGAAAAATTAAAATTTGAGAACATATTTAAGTGTCAAATTTCTTTAATGAGATTTAATTTCCCATTTTCAAATTTTCTGGTCATTACTTGTAAAGGTTATGGGGAATAAAATAAGGTTGAGGCCAGTCACCTAATGCATATAAAGTTTTGAGTCCTCAAAATCTTTCAATTGAAAACTCAGAAATTTACAAGGATGTCTTTGGTTTAAGTGGGAGTTTAAACTCAGTATTTTCTTAATTGAGAAATTCTAAGTAAGTACAATTTTGAAAAACAGAAATAAAATTTAGATAAAAGTGGAACTGGAAAGAAATGTAATATGAAAAAAAGATTAATGATAATTATTTTCTTCAATTATTATTATTATTATAATTTTATATTATTATTATTATTATTATTAATAATAATATTATTATTATTATTATTATATTTTTTGAACCAGGAATTGAACCTAGAGGCACTTAACCACTAATCTACTTTCCTAGCCATTTTTCTTTTTCTTTTTTAATTTTGATACAGAGTCATGCTAAATTGCTTAGGCTGTCTTTGAAATTGCAATTCTCCTGCTTCAGCCTCCTTAGCAGCTGGATTGACAGGCACACACCACTGCTCCCAGCTCCTTCAATTTAACCTTGAAGATCAACTTTTTGCTCATATGTTCCCTTACCCCATTCCACTTGGATAACTTTCATCTAATTTATGCATCTCTAATCCATTTCCAAAGGAATTTGGGAAACATCCATAAGTAACTTTATATTACTGTAATTCTATTAAGAAATGAAAAATAAAATCCAGTCCCAGTGGTGAATGCCTGTAATCTCATTGACTCAAGGCTGAGACAGGAAGATCACAGATTTTAAGGACAGCCTTGACAATTTAGAGAGGCCCTCAGCAATTAAGTGAGACCCTATTTCAGAAACAAAATAAAAATGTCTGAGGTAGATCAAGGGTAAAATGTCCCTGGGTATAATCCCCAGTACCAAAAAACAAAATAAAACAATGAAACCAACAAAATAATTGAAAAATCAGTTTACAAAATGTTAGAAGATTATAATGAAAAATTCCTGTGGTTTTTATATACCCATTCTTTGAAGATCTCCTTTGTTTTTAGAGACCTGGAGTAGTTAAATACTTCAGTGAAGTTTTTCCTTGTTTTGTGGTACTGGGGAATAAACTCAGTATGGTTAACCCTAAGCTACATCTCCGTCATTAATGTTTTGTATTTTGTGATAATCTCTCCCTAAGTTGCTGATGCTGCCCTCACACTTTGGATCCTCCCGTCTCAGCCTCCTGAGTTGATGGGATTACAAGTGTGACTCACCTCACCCAGCCAGGGAAGATTCCACTATGGAGAGAAGAAAGCACTTCTTCAGTCGAAGTTCAGAACAATCTGACATCTTTTCTGTCATATCTTTACTGACATCCTTGGAAAGTCAGGTAAGAACAAACTCTAGAGGTTGTTACTTTACCCATCATCTTTTTCTTCAATACTTAACTGTAATTCTACATACTATGTATCATCAAATTGTTTTTTCCTAGAAAATGTGTTGCTAAGAGGTAAGTAAGTAATGTTTATTATTTTCCTTTGACAATCATGTATGCTTATTTTGTGTAAGCAAAGTTTGTACTGATAATAACCAGCCCTCCCAAACATTTTTTTTTTAAATCATCTTGCTCATTTTTCCAGTCTGGCCTTAAATTCTTTATGCTTCCTTGTAGCCTCAGCCTCCTGAGTACCTGGGATTATTGACATAAACCCCTGTGGACAGAAGCTCTCTCAAATTTTTTGCCTGAGCTAGACCTTTTATATAACTGCTTTATCCAAGGTGTCAGAAATCACTGTGATCACACTGCACCTTCCAGATGGAAAGTATGGCTGCCCAAGCCAGTGTCTTAGAGCTTGTATCTCCTTGATTTCTCTTTTAGTGAAGAAATTTGGCAAATGTGAACACTTGAGGTCTCTGGAAATGAGGAGCTTTCCTCATGTAACACTTTGAAAATCTGAGGAAAAAACCAGCGCCTCTTGGGAAGCCTAATGCCTTTGTAGCTCAGGAAATTTCAGGGCAGTTACTTCTCCTGACCACTCTCCCTTAAATCCCAGGATTCTTGTATTAGAAGCCAAAGCTTGGGTTTTCATACCATATGGTATTTTCAAAAGTCTTGATTTTATATCCTCAGATCATAATGAGAAACAATTGAACAAATTCATTCTTGATACTAATCTGTGTACAAGGGAAGTTCTAGGAAAGCACAGCCAGTGTATAAAGAGTCTGTAGAGGCTTCCAGGTGGTACCTTTTGCATTTCAAACAGGATGGGTTGGAGGATGTGGCCTCATCTGCTCTTGCCGATTACACTGAATATGTGGCATTTCTTAAGAAGTGTTATCAAGGCAGGACCCTAGGTCTCTTACTGGAAAGCATTATATTTAAATGAAAAAAACAAAATTCTTTTCTTTATTTTGTGTGTCTATGTATACCAGGGATTGAACACAGGGCACTTAGCCACTGAGACACTTTCCAGCCCTTTTTTACACTTTAATTAGAGATAGGTCCTTTCTGACTTGCTTAGGACCTTACTAATTGCTGAGGCTGGGGTTTGAACTGCTGAGCCACCTGCCTCAGCTTCCCCAGCTAGGAATATAGGATTGACCTCCACAGTTGGTGAGTAAAATAAAATTTGTAAACTAAATCCCTCTCATATTGACAGAATAAAACTAAAATCAACCTCAGGCAAAATATTTATAAATGATCAAAGGTATTTACTAAAAATCATATATTGATGACATCCTCTTTCTATGTTTTTAAAATAAAAAAATTAAAACAACACAACTAAAAAAATTAAATACAATCTGAATCTGAAGATTCACTTTTTGTTTTGTTTTGTTTTGTTTTAAATCAGTGATGGTTGGTGAGCCTGTGGAGCTTTATTTATGAAGATTAGATAAGGTGATATTTTTAATCTACATCCTCTACAATTTGAGTATGTAATCCTGGAGCTGACTTCATATTTTCCCTTCTGCAACAAGCACTGGTGAAACCATGGACCCACTGATTAGGTAAGCACACAATTTATAGTGGAACTGTAGCTACTTTCCCAAGCCAAATCAAGTCAAATTTCATATTTTAAATGATTATCAAATTAGGTTATCTCTATGAAATGATGCTGTTTCTTTACTTAGTATAAATTATCATTCTTCTTCTTTCTTGGCTTGGATATTCTTTGGAATTATAGTAATAATTAATTTAATTTTGTTAGTTGTGTATTCCCTCGTTGGTCCTCTGTATTTTATAAGGACTCAGAAATTAGTTTCCAGAGAACTTGTAATTTTGCAGTTGTAGATCTAAAAATATGTTTAGGAATATTCTGTCCCTCATAATTCTAGAAATTCAACCACTGTAGAAATGAGAACCGAAATCTTTAGCTAAATAAACTTATAAATGATGCCTTTTTTCTGGAACAGATTAAAATAATTACATATTTTCACAGTGTAAAGTGCTGCTTTGTAATAGTTTAGACATGGTAGAGAGTGATATTCTCTTAAATTCATAATTTATTTGTGTTATCTGTTTATTTATTATTTTTTTGTATTATATAAAAGGAAGTCTATTTTGCCATAGGCAGAAATGTGCTATTCAATAAGAACTTGAGTAAAATTTGATTCAGGACTTTTTCTCTTTGAAGATAGATGAATAAAATCTATTGATATTATTCCCTCAGAAAAGGGACTTAGAAATCTCACCAGCCTTCAAGAAAGAATGCACCTGCTCCATGTGCCTGAACTACTTTATGGACCCAGCCACCATAGGCAATGAGCTCAGATTTTGTTGGCCCTTTCTCTGCCTTTCCTGGGAACAAGCCCAAACTCCTGCCTGTTGTCTTGTGTGCAGAGAGCCATCACAACAAAAATATGTCAAAACAATATTCTTCTGAAGAATTTGATGTCTACTTCCAGAAAAGCCAGTCTCTGGAAATTCCTGAGTTCTGAAGACAATGTGTGTGATCCACAAAGAGAAAAAGAAGATGTTCTGTGAAGAGGAAAAGCCCTTGCTGTATTTGCTCTGCTCCAGCACTCAAGAGCACAGGGCTCAGGAATTTTCTTCAGTAGAAGGGGCTGCTGAGGAGTACAAGGTAAGTGAGTTAGAGAGCTCAGGGATTATAACAAAGATGAGGATCTTCATGATGATTGCTCTGTTCTTTACTGCATGCTACATAATTAGTATAAAGGAAAAAGCAAAATACCAAATGTGTAATCAATAAATAAAGTATACAAATATACCTGCCCTAGTGAAGCTTGCTTCGACAGGGCTATTGATAAGGTACATGGCTACTTCAATTTTGAGTTTAACACTAAGACATTAGAAAGTTCTCATTTCAAAAGATTTACAGGATACTAAAATAATAAATACAAAATATTTCTATATAGCATGCATATGTACTAACACAAAGGAATAAATCACATGAAGTGCTTTGAAATTATTATGGGAGAGCATCAGAAAAATCCCAATTCTGATGCCAATTGCCACACTACCTGAAAACTATATATCACTATCCCTGGCTACATTACATTTTGCACTTTTTCAGCCTGAAATCTAAAATTCATAATCATCAATGGTAAAAAAAGAAAGTATTACAAATTTTTTCTTCCTACTAAAGTACTTATATCTTATTTGTTGATCTATCATTGTGAGATGAAAACAAATGTATTATCTTCTCAACTGTTTTAATTTAGATATATATAAGAAGCTGCTAAAGCAAAAAAAGATTATGGGAAAAGATCCATGTAAATCAGAAAAATCTAAATGAAGAGAACAAAATTATTAGTCCATGGATGGTAAGTCTAAGTCTATTTTCTAACACTCAGCTTGAAACAAACATACAAGAAATTTTTCTATAGTAACTTTAACATCATAGTGTAAGGATATTAGGCATAGCTTTTCTGGTGGGTTCTAATCCTCAAAGTAAAATTTAACTATGCTGGTCAAACAAATGACCAAGCAGTGTTGTAGGGAGGTTTGAGATTAAAATTATTTACTTACCATAGATGAGACTATTTAATATAATGAAGTGTGATTCATCTATAAATTCTAATTACTTTTATATGTGGGGGGATAAATTATCAATTAAAAATTTTCCTTTGGATATTTTACACACTCTTGTAGCAGATAAAATTGTATAAAAGCAGATAAAAAGATGGCTTGGTAATTTCCATCATTATAAAGAATAGAAGAACAATCAAGATTAAAGAGGAGTACAAATGCAATTTCTGAGAAATTGGTAGATATGAATTTATGGTATATGTAAAATACTGATAAAAGGTATTGGCCAAAAATAAGGTTTAAGTGGAGGACGATAAAATCATGTGGAAATGTGATCTAGATAACCTATCCCTACAGTGTTACATGCATCTATAGGAAGAGGGCTGGATATAAGTAACTGTATCCCATTCTTCATGAAGAAGATAAACTACATGTAGAGTCTTAAAAAGGAAATCAAATGAATTTTAGAGCATCTCAAAAAAAGCAAACCCAAAATGGTTCAAAAGAAGAAACAACTCAGAAAAATACATAAGAAGCTGGTGGGAACATCACATAAACCGTATGTTGAACTTCTCCAGGTAAGCACTGAGATGGAGGTGAAAGTGTTTTATGTAATCTGAAATTCTCAATTTTGACCACATTATTTGGTGCCACATCTAAATTTTTACATCTCCTGTATCAATTATGGGACTTCTTTCATCCTTAGATATAATCTAGGTAAAGTTTAACTTCTATTCTGACTACAAATAAGCAAAATTTATGAAATTTTGTGAGTAGCTGTCCTAGCAAATGTTTACTTCTTAAATTGTTGTTTTGAAGCTTGCTTCCCTAAGAACCAGAAAATAACCATTTATTCATGAACATTCCATTTTTTCCTACCACTGGATAATATGAAGAAATTTTGGAAAAGCTAATGGTTCCTTAATTCTGTTTAGAAGTTGTGGGTTTGATATGCCCTCATTAGAGACATTATCTACTCTGTGCTACACAGGTCCTTCCTACTCACTCTTTTCTCACCCTCTGGGCACTGAATTCTTGAAGAATTCAGTTTCTTCAAATATGCTTTACCAGTATTGTCCAGAGTTATGAAAATGAATTTATAACAAGGGTTGCTATGATGATATTAGATACTTACTTGAACTTTCCAAAAAACAAAATGCCATCATATTTCTTAAGAAATCTAAGCCCTTTTTTGCAGGACTTGGAAGATCTATTGACAATGTAAGTTTAGTTTTTAGTGCAACTAGGGCAACCTGTGAGCTATGAAAAAGATCAAGCTGTTTCTAAAAAAGTGAAGAAATACTTTATGTAGATAATAATCAACTGTGTGTGCATATGATTGTATGAATATGATTTCCTGTTCCCTTTATCAGATGTTAGCTTCTCTTTTCCCCTGTTTTTGATGGATGTATATTTCGCTGGGCTGAATGCCTGCATTCATAAATACAACACTGTATGATTATACATTGTAAATCAGAAACACTCAGGTGCATGGGATAGTTTTTCCTAGTTAGGAAATGAAACAGGCACCTTTGAGAATGAGTTGTTAAAAGGCAAATAAAGTAAGAAAGACTCCTAGGAAGTGTCCCTTCTCATGATCATAGAGGTACACTCTGATGAGAAAAGGTTTTCAAGAAATATTTTCAATGGAATGGTTGTTTAGTTCTTTAAAAACTGTGATGACATCTTTTACATGAGAAGATTCATGTCCTCTTCCTCCTTACAGGAGTGAGTCAGTGCAGCTGCACATGCCTCAGCCTATAAAGCCAGCACTTCCTGCCCAGACCATCACTGGACTGATAGACAGGCTCAACTGCTTCCAAGGCGAGTATCAGTCCACTGATGGGAACACAGTATAGTGCCCTTCAGTAATGATTTTCTGTGGGAAATCTTTAACTTTATTAACCTTTAATATCCCAAAAGGAAATGGCCTGTCAATTGGTATCTATAATCACATTTAGTGATCTGGTTACCATTATTAAATCAGAAAAATATAAGTGCAGGGTGGTATAATAATGAATGTGATTCAGGGTATAGACACAAATTCATTTAAATAAGTCAGACAATTATAAATTAGCTCAGAATTCAGTGCATTTAGTGATGGACATTATTTAAATATTTTCACCTAAAATGGCTTAGTAATTGAATATTTCACATGTATTATATTAAATGTAACATATAAAACTGTATTAAATTTAATGTAATAAAATGCATGAACAAACATAAAATAACTGAATTCACAGAGCAATACTTCATGAGCATCAAAAATAAAATGAGTTGATGAATGTTGAGGCAGTATATAGATTTCCATGGTAGACCTAAATAGGAACCAGAGCAAGTAGATAATTCTTTGAACTTAGTGACAATGCAGACCTCCAGTTCTTAGATAAAATGAAAGGCAATGAGCTATAAGTAGGCATAACCACTCTTTTTGTTACAAATTCCATATTTTAGCAGTGTTTTCATTGTGATTGGGCTCTTGTTTCTGCTGTAGGTGTTCTGGAACCCATGCAATATACTCCAGACACAAGTATTCCTTTACTTCTGCCTTCTAACCTGCCTCTCCTCATCTAAGAGGAATTTAAAAGATGATTTTGACTGGAATATTATCTTCTTTCCACAGTGAAAATTTCTCCAAAAATGCAATAACTGATCATCATATCAAGCTATTTGATGATGTGAGAAGTCTGAGATTTGAGCATGTCCATCCAGACTCGTGTTTGAATTCTGATAGTTCTAACTATTTTGCTGTATGGGGAGCAAAGAGTTCCCTGAGAAATATTACTGGAAATTGGTATGAAGGACTCTTTGGACAAGTATCTAGGAATCTGCAAGGAATTTCTGGGTAAGCAAGAATGGCACACTGACTCTCCAAAGATATGTTTCTTCTCCTCTTTGTGAAGGAGGATGATCACCACAATGTCTTGACCACCCCCCCTATGTTTCCTCACTACAGACAGAAATTTCAGGGCTAGGTTGGTGTGTTTTTTGATTTTTGAGAGTGGAAGTATGAGTTTTGTGAATGTTACCAAGCATTCTCTTATTTGGCAGTACCCTGCTGTCATTTTGAATTTCCCAGTCAGAACTTTGGTTTATACTGGCTACAAATGATCAGGGATAAGTCAGAAAACTCTATGTTAAGGAATTCTGTAATTCAGGCAGCCCTTCCCAGTAAAAGTCAACAACACTATACTTTAGTATTTCTTCAGTATTTTTGACTTGAGTCAAGCATTGTGGTACATATTTTTTAATTTCAGCAATTTTAGTAACTCAATTGCATGTTTTGTGAGTTTGTTAGAATTTAGAAAATTACATAATTTTATGATACATGCTCAGTAGCAATTTGTAGGAAGAATTTTTACATCAAAGGAAAAACTGTTTGTCCACACTAGACATATCATTTTGATGTTTTTACATTCCTGATGATCTAAGACATTCTAATTTATTTATTCTTAGGGAATAAAAAAAGAAAACTCTTTCCCAAACTCAGGAAAATAAGCCATTTTTTAGTGAAGCCAGTAAAGTTGGCCCTTTCACTTTCCCTTCTTTTTCCTTAACTATTTTTATTTCCTTAATTTTCTTCACTAATTTTATTTTTTATTCTAATTACTTATAAATTATAGCAGAATGCATTTCTATTTATTGTACATATATAGAGCACAGATTTTCATTTCTCTGGCTGTATACAATGTAGTTATTTCACATGTGCATTCATACATGTACCCAGGGTAATGATGTTCATCTCATTCCACCATCTTTCCTACCAACATTCTCCCTCCCCTACCTTCCCTCCCCTTTGCTCAATCAAAGTTCTTCCATTCTTGTACCTCACCCCCATTATGTGTCAGCATTCACTTCTCAGGAAGACCTACAAATGAACACTAAAGAACACTAAACAAAGACTTTGGAGAATATTGTAGAAGATGGAAATATCTTCCATGCTTTTGGGTAGGAAGAATTAATATTGTCAAAATGGCCTTACTACCAAAATCATTATATAGATTTAATTCGATCGCAATTAAAATTCCAACAATATTCTTCATAGAAATAGAAAAAGCGATCATGAAAATCATTTGAAAAACTAAGAGACTCAGAATAGTCAAGGCAATCCTTTCCAAGAAAAGTAAATCAGCATGCATCATAAGATATACTATACTACAAAGCCATAGTAACAAAAGTGGCATGGTACTGGTACCAAAGTAGACTTGTAGACCAATGGTACAGAACAGAAGACACAGACAGAAGACCACATAAATACAGTTATCTCATAGTAGACAAAACCACTGAAAACATACATTGGAGAAAATATAGCCCTTTCAACAAATGGTACTGGGCAAAATGGAAATCCCAATGCAACAAAATGAAATTAAACCAATATCTCTCACCATGCAAAAAGCTTAACTTGAAGTGGATTAAGGACCTAGGAATTGGACCAAATACCCTGTACGTAAGAGAAAAAAATATGGCCTAAATATTTAACATTTTTGATTAGGTCCTGACTTCCTTACTATTTTTAAAGAAGTTTTATGTTAACTGCAAAACTGAGAGGAAATAAAAAAATTTACACATATTCTCTGCTCCTTCTGTATATACACAACTGTATAGCCTCAATCATTATCCATATCCTCTGTCAGAATGATACATTTTTTATAACCAATGAACTTAATTTAATAAACAAAATATGTGGATATCATATACTTATAATATATTGAGGAGAGAATTTTTCCCCTGTGTTCTTCCTCTGTGAACCTATAACTCTAGTCAATTCATGAGAAAAACATCTACAAACCAAAATTGAGGGTCCTTTTAGAAAAAGCCTGACAAGTATTTCTCCTTTTACAAAAAGCCTGACAAGTATTTATGTGAAAGTCATAAAAAGTAAGAAAAAAAACTCTTTCAAATGAAACCAAAAGAGATATCAGAGTAAATTCAATGTTTGATTCTAGGTTGGATCCTGGAATAGAAAATAGGATATTTATGTACAAGCCGGTGTAATTCAAAACATTTTAAAAATGTCTGACTTTAGTTCATAATAACTTACCAATATAAGCTTCCAATGCTAGGAAACTGTCTCATGAAAATGTATGAATATTTTAGAGGAAAAGAAAAGTGGCCATAGAAATACAAATACATATTAAGTCAGTATATCACATTTTTAACTTTTCTTTAAATATAAAATATTTTAAAGTAAAATTTGAAAAGTTTTAACACAAATATCTATGTGTCTATGCTCCATGACACATTTAGATAGTCAAAAAGGCAAATTTTAGAAGAATTTTTATAGAGTAATTAAGTTTTTGAAAATATACACATACAACAATTAATCATTCATCACAGGTCGCCATTGTCTGAGGTATGATTCCCCATGCAGTACTGAGCCTCTGAATCTCCTGAGCTCGAACCACTTTTCTTCTGTTTGCTGATTATTCTATTTCAGAGTTGAGATAGCAGTTGTGGTTGCCAATTTGGGTGCAGCATTTTACATTTTACCTCAGTGGAATTTTGTGATGATTTCTTTCTCAGTTTCTTTCCTCTCTGCTGTTTAAATCAAGACCTCTGAAGGGATCTCAGGCTATCTCCTTATTATGTCTCTTCAGGGATCTTAATGCATTATTTTATCTGAATTAGTTTACCTCTTTTATATAAACCTTCTTTCTTTTCTTTTATTCCTTTGATTCTTCTGATGATTTTTAAATAATTATATAACACTATATTTTACTTTAAAAGACCCCAACTCAACTTTGCCATAGTTAAAAATCTGTATTTCTCCTCTCTTTCAAACTAAGTACTTCATTACTGTCTTACCCTCAGTGTCAGGGAGGATTTATCCAAACCTTCAAAGTTGGACAAGTAATACCAGTCATGACTCACTCACCCCAACAAATTGGTAGTATTCTTCACATTAGCTTGTGTTCGCCAGTTAATTTGTAATATTACCAGAATTCCTGCTTCTTCTGAGAGGAAGATGCTATCCTCCAATGATAACTCAAGTGAGCTGACAGCATCATTTTAGTTTGCATTAAAAATAAACATTTTCATATTTACCATGAAGAAATGAGTTTTATGAACTTCCTCATTTAGATTATCTTGCATCTCTTGACTCATTTTCCATAATGGATCCATTTCCTTTAAAAAGTTTTTCTGCAACTTAATCATAGTTTTTAGCATTAGAGAAGACAGTCTTGTAGGTTTCATCCTTTGTGTACTGAAAAAAGGCAGTGTTTTGGAGAAGAGCAATCTTGAGTTAGAAGAAAGTCAGATTATTACAAATTAGGCTAAATTAATTTTGTTATGTGGGATATCATCAGAAGCAAATAATAATAATAATTATTATTATTATTATAATTATTATTATTATTATTTTTATTATTATTTGAAGGAATCCTAGATAATGCAGTTAATTTTTTGAGAAGGCAGTTGTTACATAACCTCACTATGAATGGGTCCAGCTTGCAATATAAGTAGCCCATGTTCCTAGTGTTCCCCATCTGACCCAATTCTGCATATTTTGACAATATGTTTATTTTTATATTCAGCATGGAAATTGAACCCAATTTGAATATATGGTAGGCAAGCATTTACCATGAGCACTATCCCAAGCCCCATAAACACACAAACAGAAAAAGGATAATGTCTTGCTAAGTTGCCCAGAGTTGTGTGAAACTTGGGATTCTCCTGTTTCTATATGCTGAATAACTAGGATTATTGGCATGGCCACCAAGTCATGTTATTTATGTAACTCAGTTGTAGAGCAACACTATGTCCGATCCCCAGTACCAATAAAGAAATAAATTTTTAAATTTTTAAAATTAGAATGTAAGACTGGGGATGTAATTACTTGCCCAGCACATGTAAGGTTTTGAGATTTAACCCCAGGACTGAAGAGAAAATTAAAAAGACATTTTTTTCTATTACTTTTTATTACAGAAAGTAATTTTCCTCATAATCAGTTCTGACCATCAGAGTACCTTCATATTTTGAGGTGATGTGTATGAATGCTGAAGTAATAATCATCAATAATTAATCTATTGTTATTTAAAACAAAATCAACTGGAGAGCCCAGTGCAATGGTGCATGCCTACTATCCCAGCTACTGGGGAGACTGGGTCACTAACTGAGTCGCAAGAAAACTAAGTTTATGGCCAGCCTTGGCACCTCAGTGAGACCATTTCAAAATGGGTTGTAATACAGTGGTAAATTATTCCTGAGTACAATAAAAAAAAGAAAGAAAAATTAGTGAGAAAGAGATATCATAAATTAACAATGTTAACATTGGTGCATTATATACTAGATTTGAGAAACTCCACTTTAGTTTAGAGATGCAATTGATGAAGCATGATAAATTCATGTTAATTTCTAGTATTTTTCTGTAGTGATCAGTTTTTCCACTTGGAAATTTCTGCAATTTGGTGCACATAGTGGAAAACATTTCAACTATTTTGGCAAATGAATGTTGTATAGAGACAACATGTAGGACTTTTACATCAAGGGTTTTACTATCAAAAGTATACATTAAAATTTGAAACCAAGGATGGTGGAACACATCTATAATCCCAGATGCTCTGGAGGCTAAGGCAGGAGTCTTGAGGTCAAAGTCTGCATCTGTCAAAGTGAGGTAATAAGGAATTCAGTCAGACCCTCAATAAAATAAAAAATAAGACTGGAAATGTGGCTTAGTCGTTGAGAACCTTTGAGTTCACTCCCTGGACCCACATTCCCTGCCCTAAATTTAAATTGATGTGCACAAAGACTATTGCATACATTCAGTATACTGAATATTATAAACAATTTATGGGTTACAAAATTGATAAAATTGCAGAAATATATTATTTAAAACCTACAAAATTTAATAAAGCACAAGGGAATAGAATGGAAATCACTCATATCACTTATTAAAATTGCTGTAATTATATATATTATAACCAAGAAATACTAAGTAGGTTTTTACTTGAACAAAAACCCAACTAGGTTGAAAAGTAAATTTAAAGAATTTTTAGAAGAGAATACAGCTTGAAAGTACTTACTCTAAATTCCCAAGTCACTAGAATTAGCTATGGGAAACCCCTAGTGTGGATGTTTTGGAAAATTGGTCAGTATTCACCATGAGAAGT